GGAGGGGGGGAGGGAGAGGGAGAGAGAGAGAGGGAGAGACAATTAAGTTAAGCTTTAGAAGTTTAGGCTTCAGCTAATTTTTTAAGGCTTTTTTTATCGGGATTTCTTTTTTTTGTCAATATTGTTTTTGCGTATTGGATATGATACTAGACCCACCAATTTGATACTGTCATGCTAATTTTAGATTGTAATGTCAATTTGATGATGTCTTGTAGCCACCAAAATATCTGCTTGGAGACCAGCTTTTTCTACCACTCGGTCTTTCCTTATGTATTGCCCTTAAGTTACAAAGTAAATATCTGCCAGGACCCCGGGTAATCTCCCTCCGTAACTCTGTGTTGTTTGCGCAAACATCGGACCTGAATCAGCTTATGTAGGACCAGGCAGGACCAAACTCCACTTCCCCGCACACCTGTGGCGCTCTGTGCTCACCTGTACGACGGCACGTACGGAACAACAAACACCTACCTGGCGTTACCAGGTGAAAGTCGACAGGGGTGGAGGGTATAGTTTATATTTATGTAGTAGTAAGCACTTTAGACCGGGTGTATAGAAATTAGATAATGGGTGAGATCGGAGAGACCATGTACTGTGCGTTACTAGCAGTTCTCCTCAGTGCGATTTTACGCTTTACGCATGTATGGTTCCACGTCTTTGTGTGTGTGATAGATAGATTGATAGATGGATGAATAATAGATATATATATATATATAGATAGATAGATATTGACAGGCAGATAGACCTAGATAGACAGATAAATAGTATTAGATATAGTAGATAGAAAGAGAGAGAGAGACCAGATAGATAGATGGATAGATAGATAGATAGATAGATAGAGGGAGGGAGACAGCGAGAGAGAGAGAGAGCGGATAGATTGACGGACAATAGATAGACAGAAAGATAGATAGATGACAATAGATAAAATATAGGTAGAAAGGTAGAAGCAGATAGATAGAATACAGACTTAAAAGGTCTCTATCTAAGTCTCTGCCTGCTATCACCAGGGGTCTTCATACGCTTAAATATCACATTAAATATCTGAATAGACCTTTTGTTACCGATGTAGGTACGCATTCACCCCAACCAACAGCTGATCCAAACCTGTTTTTCCACAACATCAAATCTAAAGATGATGTAATGTTTTCTTCTAGTTCAGTTCATATATAGATGCGATGACCTCGAATTAATGCTTGCACTAGACAAGACAAGACAACAATAGTATTATCGAGTGTGTGGGAGGGGAGTCTGTCTGTGCTCGCAGTGAAATTTGGTTTGGTAGACTAAACAACACATACATATTGCCATGTCATCATTGCAGTTATTTCATGTTTAGCATACGCGGCATACATAAAGGACGAACAAGAAATTTGCATGCAATCTTAGTCTGAGAATTCAGAATATTGCAAGCCAGTGTAATATCGTGACTCAATAGCAATGTAGTACGGCCATATGCAGATTTTTTCTGTCTCTAGTATCTATTCAGCAGTATCCAGAACATAAATGCAACCAAGGCATAATGAGAGAAAGAGGGAGAGATAGAGGGAGAGAGAGTAATAGATGGAGAGAGAGAGAGAGAGAAAGAGAGAGATGACACCATTTTACGTTTGAGTATCAACGTATGCAACAAGTGTTTATACTATTTCTGTCCATTTCTCTAGAGTCTAGACAATACGAATGAAAAACATCACAGTTCCAAAGACTATAATTATCGTCTGCTAGCACAGTTCACACCTGCGGTCCTGTAGCCGGGGTTACTTTAGTGCAATGTACGTTGTTTTGGCCCGGAGGCCTCACCAGGCACCAAGCAGGTGTTTTGGTCAAGCTGTACCAGACCAGTACGGAAATGCCTCATTTCAGAACCCATTTGCCCAAGGACTGGAGTATTACAAGATGCGTCTTGATTTTGAAAGACAAAAACTGACCCGTTGATATTTCGTATGTAGCTTTAATTTGTCTAGAATTATTTAGTACAACAGTATGAAGTGTTCGTCTTATAATGTAGTGCTAGAACAACGTGTATATACGCGTGACTATGTGGGTAGGGCGCGCGAGACACAACTGGGTTCCAGAGCCTACATGTAGGTCGCCACAAAAACAGCAGTGGGGGCTTGCGCAATTCCTTATGTAGATATGAGTGGGTACTGCCAGAGTTTCACAAGGCCTAGGGCACGCACAGACCGCTAACTTCAAACAGTAGCCTCAAGAGCTGGTGGAATATAATAAAGAGGGTTTGTAGACCTAATGATCTCAGTGTAAGGTTGACTGCTTTCTAGAGCGCGCGCACACATACACATAACGCCTACGGCCACCCAGTCTCATTCAGCCGTCCGCAGTGCTTGTGTGGTTTCCTATTGACAAAGGACTGGACTTCCTGGCTAAAGAACACAGACCCGACCTGATTGTGCATATATTTACAGGCAATAGTGACCAGGCAAGATCTGGCCGGCTGCCTACAATCGCACCGTTGTCACACGTAGTGGCACTGCCGTGTTTTTACTCAGCGTAAGCGCGGTGGACACAAAGACCACTGAGTGGTCGACCTCGGTGAAATTCTTCGAGGCGACCCCGTAAGTCACTCAGAGAGGACCGTGTCCTTAATGTGTTTTTGAACCGGTGTGTTTTACCTTGATGGAGACTTTGTTGCGGCGGGTTTCAATGACAGAACGGTGCAGTAATGTGTTTTGAAGGGGTCCAGTTTCTCGGATTTAGCGAAACCGCAGGTATAGCGTTTCCATGTCTTTCACGGTGGTAAGCCCGTTCACACGGGAACCTGTGGGATAATATTCACCAACACACGGCTACAGCTGATCATAGACTAGACTTCCAGCAAGCAAACATGATTTTGTTGATACCGTATCCTTGCTCTTAATAGCCGGGCCTAAAGCAGGCTTCAGCGAGGCTAATACTTTGATGACAACGAAAGCAAAGTGCAATCAAGGAATTGAATTTTATTTACCCTTTAAATGCACGCCGCCTTAGATAAGTCGCGCTCAGACGAGGAAATAGCTAACAAGGAATGAGAAATGCATGATACTGAAACCCCAATTCTACTAGATTGCAACTGTGTGCATGCAGTGTGCAGGTATTAGGCTATTGCACGTTATGTACTGATAAAAAATGAATAGAACCTACCAGTTCTTTTCTAAGCCAGGCCAGGGCGCTCTCGATGCCGCCTTTCCTGTTCTCCATGCTGGTCTCTGTGGGGCTGACCGGACCGTTCAGGCAGGGGACGGTCGTCTCGTGCTCGGCGGCGGGCTCGGGTAGCCAGGGCCGCCGGACCGCAGTCAGGGCCTCCGGCGAACTCTCAAAACTCGGCGGCCGCGAGGTGAACTCTTCCAATCTTCGTGTGATGACCTCCATTTCACAATCTTCTCGTGGAATATATGCTCAAGAAATTTTCCTCTAATGTTGGACGAAAGAGTCCTTGTCAGAAATTACTACTCGCACAACAGTCGTCTGTTGGTCGTGTTAACTGAGGTGGATAACTACACAACACAAGCCTCGAGCGGCGGTTTTATACCGGCCCCGTTTTGCGGCAGGGGTCATATTACGACAGGATGACGTAAGGGTGTTCCAATTGGTCGCCATGTTTGGATTGGGTGTTGTAGGGACAAAGTTTGAATACAGGGAAGGGCACGGGTGTATAATAGGGCCTAGTAGTAGTCAATACTTCGCCGAAAGACATGAGGTAATCGCTCTGAAAGAAAGACAAGCCTTAGCGAGGTAACGGAGACATACGGGGGGCAACAAATAAACCTGTACCGTCGTTACAACAAGTGTCAAAACAGTGACACTGATATGAAAGGTCATCGTGACACATACACATGTACAGGTCGCTATTTTTACCTGTACAGTCAAAAGTGGGCAAGAAAACCACATAGGGGACTGATAAAAAAAGAACGAAAACTAAAGAGGAGAAACAAAATCTTTCTCTTGTTTAAAAACTTTTTCGACGGTACAGGGACTTAGACAGAGGAAAGGAGACAGAAAAAGGATGTGTCAAGCTACCCATGACAGGTTACTGTCCAAATGCTCCCACCAACCCACCCATTCCAACTTGACACATCAAAATAAAATAAAATCTGGTCTATGTGGACAGATGGTCACTATAGACAGGATTCTTAATGCTTGTGTCAATGGGAAAATTTATTTAAAGAGACCACCAAAAAGTGGTCACAATATGGCCATTGCAGGTGGTAATTATGTAAAGGTGGTCACTAGTACAGGTTTGACTGTACTTTGTACATGACGTAAGATATATCAAAAGGTACGTGACTACCGCGGGGATGTTGCGTAATATCATGAAATACAGTCCTACTGGAAACTAGGAAGAAAGTTCTTGAATCTCGGTGCTATCGTAAAAAACATTACTCTATCGTCAAAGGTGTTTTCAAAAGTTATCAAATATGAAAATCTCATGTATCGTTATATCCCAAAAATAAACCTTTAAAGTTACTGGTTGACGGTACGTTTACTAGTTAGAAATTTAATAATGTTTTCGTCAAAAGCACGAGCTAAACTTCATCATCTTGCAACCCTTAAAAACGTCCATCCCCTGACAACAATAGCATTATATTAGTGCAATCTACGGGCTAGTTAAACTCACTGGCCTAAGGACAGTTCTGAGCCAGCGAATGTAACTGTCCAAGGGCTTGCTACGGGCTGGTTACACTCGCTAGCGGACCTTCGGAAAGTTTTCCTCGGCCAGAGAGTGTAACTAGCCCGTAGCATATCGGATTTCGCCCATGCTACGAGTATGTTAGCAGGTGTTAACGGGGGAAAATATCCATTCGAACCGTTAACTTTAAGAAAACACAAAATGGGAATCTGCAACTGAAAGTAACTCATATGATACAATATCGGTGAAGATGCAGTTATGTACCAAGCAAAAACAATGTTCCAATGGACTGCATGTGCAATTCTTCAGTTCACCCAAGGATACATGTATAAACTATAATGTCCTTGGTTCACCCGAAAACGGTGTCCGTATAAACTTTCGGGAATGGCATTCCGCACATAACAATTGTCAGTTCGCTACCTCTGTAAGTATCTCTTATTTTCAACCGAGAGTTTTTTTTCTATTCTCACTCACACCAATGTTTTCCCTTTTCTATCGTAAGCCGATATTAGAACGATAACTCAGGTGAATTTTGCTCCAGTGTTATTTCAGGACGGCTGGAGGAGTAGAATTGTTGCCTAGCCATGTTGGCTCTTGCTTGATTTTCACCACAGGCAAACTCCACTCTTGTCCTTTCCCTATCCTAACCGATCGTTCAACGCTTAGTCAAGAAGTGTTTGTAATTTTTCTTCAGTGTAATTTCAGGACAGCTGAAGGAGCCAGCCTTGTTGGCCTTGTTTTTCCTCTATTTTTACCACAAGAAATCGCCACACTGTCCCTTCTGTATCTAAAACAAATCTTTCAACGCTTAGTCAGGTAGTCTTTGTAATTTTTCTTCAGTGTAATTTCAGGACAGCTGAATGGGCTAGCCTTCTTGACCGAGTTCTTGCTGAATTTTCACCACAGACAAACGCCACTCTTGTCCTTTGTCAATCTTAAACCGATTTTTCAACGCCTAGTCAGGTGGCTTGTGTGATTTTACTCTAGTTTACTTTAAGGATTGCTGAAATAGTTGGCCAAGTTATTTCTCCATTCTCACACAGGCAAACGTCCCTTCTCTACGTTAACTCTATCTTTTCACGCTTAGTCGAGTATCCTGTGTAATATCTCTTCAGTGGTATGTGAGGACAGATAAAGAAGCTAGCCAGGGTACGGGAATACCTGGAACGCCATTGCCCAAACCTGGTCCACAGACATAAACAAGTAGGAAGTTAGCATTCTCTCACGTAAAGTAAAGAACACCGGACACCTGTGACTCACGTTGCGGACGTAATGTACGCGCCAAAAACAAGGACACGGTACAAGTGACCGTGAAAGTCCTTGGCCCTAAGTTAGCTCACCTACATTCAAAAACAAGTTCAATGACTTGACGTGGCGTCTTATGCAGAACAGTCACACTATAGATGCAGGAAAACAAGAAAGTTTCAAAACTTTTTAACAAGTAAGATAGAAACATGGACCTGCACAAGTGACACTAAATTAAAACGGGTTAGTTACGTGCAGCACTTCGCCAGATTTTGTCAGAAACTCCCCTGTAGTTCCATAACAATCTGCTAGGGGGACCAAAACCGCACCACTTATTCCTGAAAAAAGATCAAAGACCAAAGCATGTCCAGGACAAAAGATAATAAACGGAAGGTCTGTTTCAGTACCAAGGTCAGCCACCAGGAGGTCCGAATTTGACCTTTACTTTTGTCTCTCTAAGATCGACCAACATACCAAATATCATCTCATAATTAATAACGGCCTTTTTGAGTTATGCTGACCACAAATATGCATCTAACACACACACAAATCACAGTACTGGGGTGAAAAGTATTGTATCGAAAAGTAATGGTGTTAAATATCGTCGTCAGCACTAAATGTACCATTAACATAGTTTCCCTTATGAATAGACATTGCATTGGCCACTCGCGGTTGCCACGTTGTATACAAGTACAATGGCTACATACACATTAATTCCTAATTAGTATCTACCTGCACTACACTAACATGCTTTACTGTATGAATAGACATTACATCTACCACACGTGGTTGCCATGCTATACCGGTACAATAATTACCACATGTGGGGATTTGTCCATGTTGTTAACCTTGGCCTGACAAAGTCTATTACCTACTATTATCACACTCTTGAGATAAGCCTGACAGTGTATTTGTGCAGGGCGTGTACTTTTACGTGTAAAACACCATGCAAGCAGTTTCATTGATTTTTTTTCTTGCGACATCGCATTTTTGTCTTACAGATATCAATATGAAACTAGAAAGGTAACATTTGCAAAGCGAATGCATAATGTTTACATTCGCATATGGTCTGCTCTGTTAATTCTTACTCAAACACATTCGTATATATGGTGACAGGAGTCTAAATCCCTCCTGCTATAAAATTGCAACATGCAACATTAATTCTTACTCAAATACATACATTTATATATGTCCCCTACATCACTGCAGTGGACTTTTTGTGTTTGTCGTTTCAGTTTTTACAGGGTATTTCGAACTCTAGTTGACTTTAAAAATCTAGTTTTACTATCCTTAAATCGCTTTGGGTGCCACCGTGCCTCTAAGTCTAACGTGTTGCGATTTACAGTAGTAACAGTGTGACTTACAGTCCTGTGGTGCTTCCCAGAAGCTATCAACGCCTGTCAGAAAAATGTCAGCCACGCTAACACCATATAAGGATCAGTCAACCACCATGTTCAAAGGCGAGGGTGGCATTCTACTTTAATCCTATCTTGTAGCCGACAAACACACTCAGCACTTGTGCATTTATCTAGCTTGTCGCTGTCTTTAGTGCGCTCTGTGTGGTGTGGATAAGCATGTTCTTAGCAGGACTCGTGAGGCTTATCCATGGAGTCACCGCTTGCTACGGCGTGTTAGAATTTCGTGCATGTACTGCGCACACGTTCTTCGCATTGGGCCTATGACTTTGCGCTTGGTATCGAATGAATGAATGAGTAAATGAATGAATGAATGAATGAATGAATGAATGAATGAATGAATGAATGAATGAATGAATGAATGAATGAATGAATGAATGAATGAATGAATGAATGAATGAATGAATGAATGACTTATAGTCCTGTGGTCTTTCTCAGAAGGTGTCAACGCCTGTCAGAAAAATGAACCATGTTCAAAGGCGGGGATGACATTCTACTTTAATCCTATCTTGTAGCCGACAAACACACTCAGCACTTGTGCATTTATCTAGCTTGTCGCTGTCATTAGTACACTCTGTGGTGTGGATAGAGACGTTTCTTTATAGGATAAGTGTTGAGTCACTACTTATTACAGTTTCGTAGAATTTCACTCATGTGCTGCGCCCGTTCTTCGCATTGTGCCTAATGATCAGTGGCATTTATCTAGCTTGTCGTTGTCTTTAGTCACTCTGTGTGGTGTGGATAAACATGTTCTTAGCAGGACTCGTGTGGCTTATCCGTGGAGTCACTACTTGATACATTGTCCTAGAATTTCATGTATGTGCTGCGCACCCATTTTTTGGCATTCTCTTTGTGGGCTTTGCGCTCATTCACGAATGGATGAATGAATGAATAATTGAATGGATGAAAGAATGACTGAATGAAAGGGCAAAACACTAATAAATCGAAAGAAACGGATAAAATAACTCGAATTTTATTCCAAAGAGCATAATAAACTAATTTACTCGTAAATTTATGAAGGAAAATGTACTAAAATCATACAAAAATCAGAGCATAGAAACACAGCGATGTCCACTGTTGCTGACGGCCATTTCCATTTTTTTGCTGAGTTGTATCCGCTCCTAGCCCCGTGTCCAGAGACTGCCACATTCAGCAGAAATACGTGG